ATATATATATATATAATAGATTTAATAATAGAATGATTTTGGTGAATGTTTCAATATTATAGTTATCTACAAAGTTTTTTAGTTTTAAAATTGTAGAAAAAACTTAATTTTGTACATATATGTAAGAACTTATAGAATTCAACTTATGCTGTAGGAATAATACAATTTAGGTAGGGGAGACTAGAGACAGATGTAATCATTTTTTTTTTTTAGAAATATACATATTTTTTATTTATGACATATATGTTTATTTCTTTTAATGCACATAACGCAACAACTATTTATATTTACTATTTGCAAAAGGTGTAATTTTAGGCTGTTTATGAATAAAATATCAAAATCCGAATTAGTATATCTTGCTCTGATTTGGTGCAAAATGAAACAGAGCTAAGGAAAGTTGTAGAAAAGTTGTAATATGTTCTAAAAATAAAATGTTTTAAAACAGAAATTCATTGCTTTAAAAACAAATTCAGTGCTTTAAAAATAAATTATCTGTTCTAAAATAGAAATTATCTTCTTATATTATTTTTGTTTATAAATCAGTAAATTTACTATTAAAAAGCAGTGAGTTTGTATTTTAGAGCGGAAAATTTGTTTCAAAGCAGTGAATTTGTATTTTTAAAACATTAAATTAAAACAATAAAAATGTGTTTTAGAACAAATAATTTTTTTTTAAACCAGTGAATAATATCTATTACAATAAGAAATATTTACACATCCGCGATATAGCATGATCCCATAGAGCATGTGACCTCAGCACGTGCTTGCATCGTGCAGTTTCGTGACTGATTTCCTAGTCTGAAAGTCGTCAACTTAAAATATTTCGATTTACGAAGCAGATACTTTTTTCTTGTCAAATGTCTTTATTTTTATGCGAAAATTCATCGATTCAATGTTTTTATCAAAATTTGAGGTGAGCAGGCTCTTAACACTTACCGTTAATTGTAAGTGTTACAATGGCGTTCAATGAACTCAACAGTTGAGTGAGCGCTCGCTATTATTAATGTATTTTTCTAGATCATCCAATCAGCATTTTATATCTGGAAGAATACATCAATAGCAGTGAGCGCTTAACTGTTGAATCCATTGAACGCAACAATGTACGCAACTCTGACGATGCGATACTTTTAACTCAAACGGATATTGTCAAAATTTACATAGATATATTCGAAATCATTTAAAAATATCAAAAAAAACATGCACAAAACTTAAAAAAATGTATTTTAGAATTAATAAAATGAAAACATAACAAAAAACATTTTATTTGAAAGTTTAAAGCAAAAAAGTATAACATCGTAAATTTACACTTACATGGCTTATCTGAATACTCTACATATTACTTCTTTTACATACGGCGCACATTGATGTGAGGCAGTTGACATGAGGCAAACACAGGCCTCGATATCGATTTTTGTTCTTCATTTTATCTCTTATCATTTAAAAGATATATGCATTGTTATAACTGTTCCTAGTCTCCCCTATTTTAAATTATAAAGACATCACTATATAAAAAATATCACTATATCTCTCTCTTCCTCCCTCTCCCCCCTCCCTTTCCCTTCTTTTCCTCTTTCCTTTTCTCCCTCTCTCTCCCTAATATGTAAGAATATATAAGAAATATTGCAAAAGTATTAAGTTACGAGATAAAAGATGGAAAAAGGTAGCAAATCCATTGATTTTTCATACATTTTCATGTTCAGTACATAATAAAAGTATTAATCTACTAACTACATGAATATTAATTGAATTTCCTAGCAGCCGATATTTTTGTCTATCTGTAATATGTTCTGGAAAATGAAAATCTTCTGGGAAACACATTAATCGACATATCTCTTTAGGTGAGAAAAACCTAAGTTTCAAATCTGATAAAATTTGCATTTGCTTATTCGAATCATTTTCGTAATTAGCAATTTCATTATACTTTGATTTGATTATTTCATCTGTAAATGGGCAATATACAGATCCTGTACCTTCTGCATAATAACTGTATCCTTTGGTGAAGCAACAGGAACCATTGCTCTCAGATGTTCGTATATCTAATACCCATGCTCTCTTTTGTAGTAATTTAGAAGGCACCAAATATTTTGAATCTTCAATATGTTCCAAAATATTATTTAATGTATAACACAGTCTGCCAGATTTCTGATTAATTTTACCTTCTTTCTCCGCTAATACTGAGTGTTTACTTTTTGGTAATAATTCAAATAATTCAGGAAATAAATTATTCCCTAACAAGGACTGTTTAAAACAGAATTTCAGATTATTTCTTTTCGCCAGTAAATAATATCTGTGTCTACTGTTTGGCACACCAAATTGACATGGACTTAATATTAACTCTCTATAGGCATAGCCACAATTTTTTATGCATTCTACTAATCTGTCTCTCATTTGAGATACTTCAAAACCTTTAACATTCTCAAACAAAATATATCTTAAATTTTTCAATTCTGGCAACAAGTTCAAAATGTGTTGCAAAGAACAACTTCTGTTATCAAGAGCATCCTTCTTTAATCCTAATCTAGTAAAAGGCTGACACGGAGGACTCATAAACATAATGTCTACATTTAACTTGTTTAATTCCTGTGCATTAATGGACTGAATATTTCTATTCATAAGAACAGTTTCCGAGAAATTGTGATGATAAACATCATTTGCAACAGGATTTATATCAATTGCTGCAACAACTTTAGCTGCAATTCCACTCTCTGAAATGATACAATAAAGATGAATTAATTAACTTTATAGTAAACTTATACGTTACAATTGTCATCTTATAATTTCTGATCTCTTTTTCCTAACTATCTGCTAATTCCAAATTATTTTTAATGTAATGCCTTTAGAGCTTTGGATTTTAAATTATACCTTTCGATTTGGATTTGACTACCAGAACTTTTTTTCACTTGAATGTATTAGAAAAAGGATTAGAATGATCAGAAATTTCTATTTTGTATAATTTCTTTATCTGTTTTGCATCGCATTAAAAAAGACTTGAACAACAAATCAAAACGTTTGCAAGTTGAGTTGTCTGTATTATTCATTTATGCTAATACTATATAATTTATTAATTTATTAATTTGTTCGTATTTTTACATCAATTGCTACTTTTATTAGCATTTTTTATTTGTTTTTGATTTATTTTTGGAACCAAGAAAATGAATAATATCTGATTTTATCATATATATACAGGATGTCCCAAATTTTTTACCAAGCACTCTTGTGTAAATAGAGTAGACCAAATTGAGTCGAAAAATCCTCTATATTTCGCAATAATTGACAAGATATTAATTAAAAGTAGTTTAGTAATTACTAAATATTGATTTTCAATAATTTTTTTACTCAAATACTATCTACTTTAGAACTTTACAAAAAAACAGTGAAAGACAAAATTTGTTTATTTTCTTCTCATAAAGTTCTGAAAATTTTTTCAGAACTTTTTTTAATACCACATATTTATTCATATTAATAAAAATAGTTGCTAATATAAGAAAATGCATTAAAAAGTTGATAAAAAATTCAAAAAAATATTTTTAAAGTTCTATGAGAAGAAAATAAACAATTTGTTTTGATAGTATTTGAGAAAAAAAATTATTGCAGACCAATATTTAGCAATTTTTAATAATTAATATCTTATTAAGTATTGCGAAAATTGCAAAATGATAGAGGATTTTTTGAATTTAGTCCAGTTTATCTATATAAGAGCGCTTAGTAAAAAATTTCGGGACACTGTATAATTATATTAATTTATACTGTTAAAAATTTTCTAAAATTTATTATATATAGTTTAAACTTAAAAGTACATCTTATTTTTAAGTTACACAATTTAAAGTACACATTATATTTCATTACATTTAAAAAACTACTGTAACTTAATTTTCAGTTAAATCTTTCATTACTTTTAATTTCGTTCATAATGATGAGCTTCATTTAAAGGAAGTTCATGATTACATCTCTAATAGTGTATTTTAATATAAAAATTCATTATACATAATTACACAGTAATATTTATCGATTATTTAAATTTACCATGTAACGCATAATGCATCCCTCCAATGCCGCTGTATAATTCCAATGCCTTCATTATTTCCGATTCACTTTAGGTTTAGGAAAACAATATTTTATGTTATGGATACTATGATTTTCCTCTTTGCAAGAGAGAGGTCCCAACTCCTATCACGGAGTCGGTACGGCTAGAATCAAGATAAGCGGGGAGCACAAATTCTTGCATAAAGCCGGTTCTATATTAATTGCAAACCGATTGCAAGATTGTTGCGACAGCCAATCTGAAGCTTGCATTTTGAAATCAACGCTTCATATTGGCTGACAACAAACTTGCGATCAGCTTGCAACTAATGTAGAATCAGTTAACACATAATGCATAAGAAATTGAAACAATCAAAATCCTTCGTTTCCTTTCTTTCCATGAAATAAAGAACTATGATTACTTGAATTTCTTAAGCTTTATGTGTTATGCGTTACAAGAGTCTGCTCTCCGCTATAGCTGCCCCATGCGGCGAGTGACAGGAATAAGGGCTGCTGCACACAAAATTCCATAACAGTAAGATGTAAATTTAAACTGATGAGCTAATCAGGATACTGCTTTAGATTATGTAATCTAACAGAAATGAAAATAACAGTAAACTTATTCATAATCTCAATAAGGTGCAATAAAGTGAATTTCAAGTGATTGAAACTCGCCTTATGGATAAGTTTACAGTTATTTCTATTTCCATTAGAATACGTAAATCTAAAGCAGTATCCTGATTGACTCATCGATTTAAGTTCACGTCTTACGGTTATTATTGCGGAATTTTGTGTGCGCTAAGGCTTGTTCTACAATAGAGTTAACAGTAAGTTGTAAGAAATTAACCAATCATAGTCCATTATTCTTCTCACACTTAACTGTTTGGCCAATTTCTTACGGTTTACGATTTATGACTATTATAGCACAGGCATAATCCAGTAAAGCAATCCAGTAAAAAAAACAAGCATTTGTGCTGCAGACTTTAGAAAATAATGGGAGTGTTTAAACTGGCAATAACTGTATGCCGTATGTTGTAATCTGTAAGAGTTGATTAACAACAATCGAGTATTATCCCTCTTACAGTCGAATAATAGGGGAATACTCGCAGGGCTCTACTTAAGGGCTGCCGCGCACAAAATTTCGCAAAAGAATTGCGCAATAGAAAACGGCGGAATGAAGTCACGATCAATCACAAACGTTCCGCAGTTCTGCATCTCATGGAAGCGCACTCTAATGACAGTAGTAATGATTGATTGGTTGTTTCTATGAAACTACTCATTCTCTATTTGACATCGTGTGATTTCATCCTAAGTCTTTAGCTACGAGGTCTTAGTAATATTCTTTACAATATGCGGGGTCTACAATAGAAGTCGTAGCGGTCGTAGTGTCTAAGTTATAGAAAATTAACCAATCACCATCAGAATATGAGAAGAATAATCTATTATAATTAGTCAATTTTCTACGACTATGGTAATTTAATAAAATTAATATTTCAAGACTGAAAAATCATTTCAGTGCGCGTTTCAAAAAGACTACGTTAATATATAAATTCACACAGAATCATAGAGACATTTAAGATCCAGCTAGACGTTTAAGGGTGCCGTCACATGAGGTGTATCCTACATAACCGTAACCTGCATTTCTAGTAATTTTATCAGAATACGTTACATTTTATTTACTAGAACACGCCATTCTAAAAGCTCTTCACATTGGGCGTATTTCGCGGAAGATTAAAGAATGCAGCTAATTACTGATTAGAATTTCTATTGTACAGCTAGTCACAGAAAGGTTGCAACTTACTGTTACTTTTTCTTCGATGGGTTTCGAAACGCAGCTTGCTCTCCAAGTGATTAATTCTTGTTCGTGGATCTACAAATAAGAAAAATCGCTCAGTTAGCAAGCTGAATGCAAGCTGCATTCTAAATTCACTGAAAAAAATGTTGCAATCTTTCTGTGACTGGCTGTACACTCTAACAGAAATGCTAAACGAATTTACGATTGGTTTTCATAACCTACGTATCTCGAAAAATACGGCTCATGGAGAATCAGCGGTTTGTTCATCGCGTATATATAAGCGGATGATCGAATGAATCATTAAAATCAGAGTCTTGTGAGACCACCAGAGGCTTATTCGACATGTTTTTACATGAAACAAAAGAATCTGGCAAAAAATGCATCGCTCTGTCCTGTGATTCAAGATATTAAGCATTAAAGTTAGTGACTATTGAAGTTAAGAAATCTGTCAGGCCGGAATCAGACTGCATTGATGATTGAGATTAAAGATTAAAGATTGAAATTTCACCAATGAAGACAAAAAAGTTTCTTTTGTTCTGATTGATCAAACTTCAAGCTTTTAATTTTCAATCTCATTTTTCAATCTGATGCGTAATCTGATTCCGGCCTCACAGAGGCAAAAGAGTCTATAATTATACTGTTTCACATGGGTTTCGACTGGTTTGGACTTTCCACGTGAAATGCAAATGGGTACACGATTTCTATAATTGTATTGTTACAAAATCGAAATCCATGTGCATTATTTCAGACAGACTAAAGCTAAAATGAGCTAGAAATTGGATTCAAGGCAATCGTTCCATCATATTTTGGCGTAATAACGTAAATAGCATAAAGTAGTTAGCCAGAAACTGATGTTCAAGTGAAACGATATGATTGATCGGTGCAACTTACGCTTACGTAAGTAAGGTATTTAACACAATATAATCGGTAGGGACACTCCGTGTCGACACCTTTGATCTCCGCATCGCAGTCACATGAGCATCCGCCATATTAACGTTTGAAAAATCCAGGACCGAAAGACGATATAATGCCCCTTAGGTAATAATGTAATTCCACACTAAAAAATTTTACAAAAATACGAATTAATGAACAAAATTAATTTGAAAATAGT